CAGGGGGAGGGGCTGGATTCCCCTCTCCCCGCTCCGATCTGCCAGCGCTGACTGGCGGAACGGACGGGGGGGGGGGCGGGTACAGCTGGCTCTGCCTCTAGATAGGCAGAGCCAGCTGTCACTCACGCAGCTGGGCGGATCCCGTCATCTAAGTCGGGATCCGCTCCAGGTGCGGCGTCTCAGTATACCGCGAGCTGTAGCTCGCGGTATACTGAGCTTAGGGTGACGGGAGGACGCTAGTTTGTGTCCTCCCGTTACCCCAAGGAGAACTATGGGGAAAAACACTGACCCCATAGTTCTCCTTTATTTATCACCTGTTTTCCTTAGGTCCTCATCTTTAGCAACCTTAGATTGTTGACATGCTTTGATGGGACACACATGAATGCAACAATGTTACTGTGCCCTCCTCTATTCCTGAAGTCATTGGTATGATGCATGTGAAGTCCTCAACCCGACTCCTGTTTTAAGCCCTGGAGACCACTGTGTGACCCAACATACTCTTTCTTGTTACTGTAAACTGTTTTATGTTGGAATTATGATAACCTTTGTTTAAACCTATGTTTAAAACCTTAAGATGGTAAGGAGGGCTCTGCACATGAGAACTTACGATCTAAAAGGGAGGGGCAAGTGATACAAGAGGTGGTAACTGTGTGGGGATAATTTTTTTGAGAAAGTGATAGTTCAGTGGTTAGGTTGAGATAGGATAGGCTTCCCTGAAGAGATGAGTCTTTTTCCAAAGGATGGGAAAGACTCTAGAGATGTCCTGGAACCGAGCATGGGAGGAGTTGACGAAAGAGCTAGAGAGCAAGAGGTCATGGGAGAAGCAGAGGGGACGGTTAGGGTTATCTATTGGGTCACATGACCCCCGAGACTTAGATTTCTACCCTTTGTTGCTGGCCTCTATTTCTGTATTGTTACTGGCCTAAACTTGCTGTAGGCAGAGACTTGATGCAATGCTATTCCACTTCAAAAGCCTCACTTTTAGACACCTTTTGAACAGCTCTCACCCAGCTTGTGTTTTTCACCAGGACTCAAACCTCAAGTGAACACTTTGGGAAGGACTTCTTTATCCACAGAACAATGAGCAGGTTGTTAAAACTAACAGTCTTTAGCGCTACTTGGTAAAGTTTACCCCCTCCATGTTTAGTTGTCGCCCCTGGATGGACTTCAGCTTCCTCTACTATGATATATGTTACCTACCATCAGTTTGTAGTGGGGTTGGAACTCACATTAGCACTCCGCCTGTTTTGCTGTGCATTGCATCTACCCCTTTTAGGAATGCTACACTGTGCATTGTGGCCTGACAAGGCTGTGATGTTTTGTGCTACAGGCTCTTTATTGGCCCCAAGTTCCCTCCCGAGAGATGGCCCTGTGAACACCACCAGATGCTCCTTTATCTATGGGTTTCTTGTTTCAGGATCCTTTATGTTAGTGACCTGGTTTTGTCTTGCATTATGTTGGCTCTGTATGCGAGTAAATCGGACAATGAATAATCCCCGTCATTTCAAAAGTTTGGACAGGCCGTGATACTTTTATATTTCTCAATGTTTCTGAATATCAAATTCATGTTGCACATTACCGTATGTGTTAAACATATGCAGAGTTTGCATTTGCATTTACTTCCCACCTCAGAGGCTCTTTCCCCTTGCCCCTCCTTGACAGAGAAGGCAATCAGGAACTTTAGGCTATATTGAGCTACTTGCATATAGATTCTAGTTCCTCCTCCCCCTTATAATTATAATGCATACCAAAACTAACTCTTTACACATTTTCCTTCTTGCTGTCTCCTGTTTTTTTCTTGAACTACTCTGTATCCTTGTCTCTACACTTTGGCACCCTTACCCGGTGCTCTGAGCTGAGTTATGTTACCCTATGGGGTGCCCTTTTATACTGGTATGAATGATGGGAATGAATGGGAAATGATCTACATCACCTCCTGTTCATTTATGATTGTGGTTATAGTAAACACACTATGTCCTCATGTTATAAATGAACAGGAACACTCAGTATAGAGGATTCTTGTTAATTTATAACAGGGGATGCAGAATAAGAGATAGAGGACTTTGTGTTCTCAATCTCTTTTTTTATTTTAAAAGGGAAATATCAGGGGTCTGTTTAGATCCCTAATAATTCCCCAAAGCCCCTAAAAGTAAAGTAAAAAATACAAATATTTAAAGGAGAACTCTGATATGAGTGATTTCCACTCACGTCATAGTTCTAAGCCGACCTGTGACAATGAGACTGTCACAGGTCGGCTCAGTAGATCGGGAGGTGAGCGAACACATACCGGGTTCCCTCACCTCTCGATCCTGTCACGGCTCTCTGCCGTGACAGGGGGAGGGGCTGGATTCCCCTCTCCCCGCTCCGATCTGCCAGCGCTGACTGGCGGAACGGACGGGGGAGGGGGCGGGTACAGCTGGCTCTGCCTCTAGATAGGCAGAGCCAGCTGTCACTCACGCAGCTGGGCGGATCCCGTCATCTAAGTCGGGATCCGCTCCAGGTGCGGCGTCTCAGTATACCGCGAGCTGTAGCTCGCGGTATACTGAGCTTAGGGTGACGGGAGGACGCTAGTTTGTGTCCTCCCGTTACCCCAAGGAGAACTATGGGGAAAAACACTGACCCCATAGTTCTCCTTTAATAAAAAATGAATAAATAAAAATAAACATAAAAAGTTTATACAAAATAAATAAAAATAAAATATAAAAAAAAATTGCAAAGTTAAAATAAATTTTTTTTTTAGGTTTTGCGGTCTGACATTTTTTAAAATTTCGGTTTTGTTTTTAAAATTTTCATTTCGGTGCACCTCTAGTGAAAATAATACAAGACTTTTTGTGAATAGGCGAGAAAAGAGTAGGGGGTGGGGTTGCAACTGGAGCCTTTCAGTGTTGCAGCCACAATTTCCCATCCACGCAGCAGATGAGCATTTTGGTGTGACCAGGGCACAAGGAAACAATTTTCCCCTGTGCCCTGGCATTGAGTATGTGTTGATATGTGGAGATGAAGGCAGCTAAACTGAACTGGGTTTGTTCACACCAGCCGCACGCTATATTTTAGCATGCAGCTGGTGTCAGCTGTGTGTAGCAATGCTTTAGTGCTTGTTCACACCATATACAGTGCGTTCCAGAGCACATAGCTGCTGGAACGCACTGTATCGCATCCCGGCTGGCTCCCTGCGTTCAGGGGCGGTGCGGTGCACTGAAGTAAATGGCACTGCAGCCACGCCCCCTGGCCTCAGTGTGATTGCCCACACCAGAATGCGTACATCAATACCTGTGTTCTGGTCCAGTGCAGTCTGAAAACATAGTGCATGCATTTTGTTTTAGGATGACACCTTTCCCTTACAGGGTCCTTTGTGTGCTAGTAAGCCATGTGTGTCTCTACAAACAGGCCACAGCAAGTCATGCCACTTCCCTCCTCCCCGCTAGTACATGGAAGGACACTGTTCTGTCCCTTGTAATCAGGGGTGTGCCTATCCTTTGGCTGCCTTGGAGGAGGGGGGGATTGAGCCTATGCATCATCTCTCCGCTCATCTCTGACCAGAGTCCCGCTCAGCTCCTGGCAACCAGTGACGTCACTGGTTGCCAGGAGCTGAGTGGGATGCCGGCCAGAGCTTCCCAGGTTGCTAAAAGCTGAGCAGGGAGATGTGTATGGTCCTTACACATCTGCCTCTTAGCAAACTGGGATGATCTGGCCAGAAAGGGGGCAGCAAGCACACTGCAAACATTGTGCAGCAGAGCGACCATACCGCTCTGCCTGACGCCTCCCCTGGTGAGCCAAAGGCCACACCCTTAGACTGTCTTATTATAGGGACGGCCCTGCTTGTAATCTTGTACTTCACAGGAAGTTCAGGGAAGAGATGAGAGAGTTGAAGCCACTTGTTAGGAAACCTGAAGACTGCAAGTGCTTGGACAAAAATGTAATAAAATACTTTGCTTCGCAATCTATTTGTTTCATCTGGATTCATTATCGAGTTTCATACTACTTTAACTTGTTACATAAAACAGGGGTAGGCAACCTTGGCACACCAGCATTTCTGGAACTACAGGTCCTATGAGGCATTGCAAGACCAACAGCGGCAAAGGCATTATGGAATTTATAGTTTCATCACAGCTGGAGTACTGAGGTTGCCCATCCCTGACATTAAGTACTGCTACACAAGGCTCTGTTTATTTTTTTTAAACTTTATTGGCAGTGTACAAAGTGTACACTCCATTCAAGGCCTCCGCACAGTAGCATGGTGTGCTGCGCTGACCTCCGGTGCCATGTGGACAAACGCATCATCTCTGTCTTTTTCTGCACATCACACCAGCGTTGTGGTGTGAACTGGGCACATAGAAAACCATTTTTTCCCCTATGTGCCCTGATAGTGAGTGGCATCGATCTGTTCCTAAAAACCACCAGTTACTGCAAATGGTCTGAAAAGCCAAAATACAAAATAAAAGTTGTGCCTGGAGTCTTCACTCACAACCTGAAAAAAAAACAATTTTGTGCATACGGTACAAAAAGTGACCAATCCAAATCAGTAGCAGCCAGTGTAAGTGGTGAATGTTAGGAGTCCTGATGACTTGTCATGCATCACATGCCTACATGAACAGGAAGCTGACTTCCCGTGAGGAAGAAGGTTTGCTGCAGTCAGGCTGTCACCCTCATACACGTTACAGAATAGTGTCATACATGTCCCCTGCACTCGGGCACACAGCTGCTTATCAGCTCTCCCCTCCTTCTCTCCCCGTGACTGGACCCGGCTTATCCCTGGACCTGCCCGGCAGCTGCCACGTTTCAGTGGTGACGTCAGCCCAAGCCAGCAGATCCGCTAGAGGGAGCCGGAGCTACCCTCCAGGAACCAGGACAAGGAGCGGGCGGGGCCGCTCACAGGGGAGGGGTGAGTGTTCCCGCTGCGCAGGCGCGGGATGCCTACGGCACTCTGGGAAATGCAGTCTGTCCCTGCCCCTCTGTTATAGCTGGTAAAGGAACGCACGGGCGCTGTAGAACTACATCTTCCAGGGTGCAGTGCGGGGCCGGCCTCCTGTCGCCAGTGCGAAGCCTTCCTGAGTTGGAGGATTCACTATTTCCTGGTTTGGGCCGGCAGCCATTTTGGGGTTACAGAGAGCTCGGGCTTGCGGCGGCTGTGCTGGTATTTGGGGGGTAGTTCCTGGGCCGCTTGGGGGGACAATTGGTTCTTATTCCTATAGAATAGATTCGTGCCTGTGACCTTCTGTGGAGGTTCGGTTTTGTACCTTTAGTTTTAATTTGTCCCCTGGAGCCGGGTTTGCTTGGCGAGGCGGCGGGTGTCCGGTTTTCGGTGTGTGATTCTGCAGAAGCGGCGGGGAGAGCAGTGACATGTCCAGCATGAATCCTGAGTAGTGAGTATCTGTGAGGTCACCCTATGCCAGGCCTCCCCTGGCCTCCTGTGTGCTTGTTATGTGATGTACCTGCTCTGTCATTGTCACTGATGGGAGCCATTAGACCCATCCACATTCTCCTTACAGGTCTACAGCCAGCCGGGGCCATGGATGAGAGGCCAATGACTGTTGTGTTATGGTAATATAGGCATCAGCCTTTTCTGCAGGCCTCAAAGCTGTGGGGGGACTACAAGTAACAGCATGCCCTGCCACTCCATGTCCTCCAACATGTGCTGGGACTTTTAGTCCCTCTGTAGTGTCAGGGTTTTCCTGCTTTATGCCATCCTTAATTTTAATTACATTTAACACCCATTTAGATCTGTGTGTGTGGAGGTGGGTTTTGTAGCGTGAGGTCAATGTGTTGTCATGCGTCTGTTTGCGTTGATATGCGTTTTGACCCATTTTTCTTCCAATAATTCTTTTAAATCAGAATGTGGAAGGGATAGTGAACAGCCATTGACCAAAGCTTGCCAAGGCCTCGAAACGCGTTCTACATGAGCTTAATGTTGCCATTGTGCTTTACAACGCACTGAAATGCAGAAAAAATGGACAGGTCATCTTTTTAAAGACGCACTGAGATGGGAACGGACGCGGCCTATATTATGAGGAACCGGGACAAATGGCGTTTTACTGTCTTGAAATACGTGTACATGGGGCCCAAACCTCCTACATGTAGATGTGTGCGTTATGGTTTCTTCTCATCCCTCCTTTATCTTTGGCTTCTCATATCTGACCTTTGTAACCTGTCTCTGTGTATTCTGTATGATGCCATAGAGGACCTCCATGTGGCAGCGTGTCTGATGTCACCCATGGACATGGCAGCCGCCTTTTCATCTGGCCAATCGGTCCCACTTCTTTGTATGGCTGACCTATAGAATATGTTTTTGGCTAGGGAGTTAGAGCCCCTGTCAGGTTTTATTACAGCACATCAAATCATACTGACCAGACTTCACATGGACCCGTATGAGGATGGGTGCACAGCTAAATGGACACATGTAGACAGAACCAGCACACCAACTTGAAATCCAGACCGGCAATTTAGTGGAGTCCCATCTCAGTCCATAACACCAGTGATTGGAGGGTGCGAGGACCCCCTGGATCAAGGTGATAAGCAGAGGCACTGCCTGTGGACTGATATGGGATATCAGTAAATTGCTGGTCCCTATGTTACATTGGTGTGCTGGCTTTTTCTACATCTAGGTTGTTATTGCTGTCAGTGATCATCCACAATCTGCATGTCCCGGTGACCACTGAGACTGAAATTGAGGACAAATCCACTTTTGAGTTGTCACCAGGACCGGAATAGGGGGGAAATCTTCCGATGGGCACACTTGACAACTGTCTTTGAGGAGATTTCCTTTACCTTGGAAAGCATTCCTCACTTCCTCTTGTGTGTGCAAGACAGGAAGTGAAGATAAATCTACCTAATGGGACACAGAGGGGGAAAAACCTAACATTTTAAACAATGTGTTGGCTTAGACATTAATGAGCCTCCAGCTTTTGTGACACTACGAGAACCAGCATGTCCTGTTGGATGGTGTCTATATAGCAGCTTTTCCTGGCACTTATAGTTCCTCAGTTGGAATTGTGTAATGCACTTTTACATTGTATTAGGCCTGCCTCTTATGCCATTGTACGTGGCTACTAATGGGGTGCTTTTTACTCCTTACCGTTCTCTCTGTGTTGTCATTGTTACTACTTTGTTGCCTGTTTAATTTTTTTTTTCTTACAGTTGCCTAGATAATTTATTGATCAGTAATCATTCTCTGCGCTGATTATGGAAGAGTAGAATGATTGTTACTTTTTGAGGCCTCAGGCCTTCCAGCTGCGGGGATAGTATAAGTGATAGAGCATCTTGCCAGTTAGTCCTGGCGCTTGTAGCTTGGCCAGAAATCCTTTAGTGCAAGCTGTATTAAAACAACTACACCTTTCAATGTATTGTCTGCATCAGGCCTGCAGTGCACGGGGGTTTTACATTTTTAAATTACAAGGATAGGTTACATCCTATGTAATTGTCACTCGTTTGTGTGACCCGATGAAAGCCGCTAACCCAGTCAAACCATGTGTGTATGATGATAAATCTATGCTGTTTGCAGTATTAAAGATTAACTCTTGCAAAACCAACAAAACTCCATCCTTGCAGTGGGGCTGCCCCCTCACTACAAGGGTAGGGTGGGTAAGGCACCTGGAAAAAGGACTATTATTTACCTGGTCCCATTCCGGCAGGTTTCCTCCAGGCTGTACGACCAGCGCCTGCAGCCCCCCTCCCCCCCGCTTCAGTGTTTGGAGGCCCGCTGATGTCAACAGCAATGCAAGCCCCACAGCCCTGCATTATACTTGAGGACTTCGAGGGACAATCCACGACCTGCAGTATATGGGAGAGAGAGGTGAGCACCCTCTGCCCAGGGATCAGGTAAAACGGCTTTATCTGATACTCTGGATCTAAACAGGCACTCAGTCCTTGCAGCGAGGGGGGCAGCCACACTACAAGGGGAGGTTTGTGGTTTCCCCAGAGATGGACTTTAATTACACACATAATGAAGTTTAGTTTTTATTTGCAGGCTCTGTCCTGGAGAAACTAAAAGTCTAATGATGCTCTCCAGCAGTAAGGCCTCATGCTTACAGCTCCTAAAAAAAGTGGGTTGTGTAGGTCTAAATAAAAAAAATTAGATTTGTCAAACAGTTGTTAACCCTTCTCATTAAATAATTTTCATGTGAAAGCCATGATAAGATGCTCTTAATATATTAAAGTGCTTAATGTGTTGTACTATAAAGATTTTGAATGGTTTAAGCTTTATTACAGTTGTAGTCAACATGTAAGCCTCCTGGTAGTAAGGCACTACACGTCCCAGGGTAACCCGGTGAAAGTGGTACATTTCTTCCTGGAGGTCTGCAGGTTTCCATGATGTGGCCAAGACTACGTTAGTTAGCAGGTCAAACATTGGGCCTCTCAGTGCTCTAACGTTCATGTGACAGATGTCCCTTTGATAGGATTTCTTGTTTTTTTCCCTAAAGGATGTACATTATGACCTTTTATTTGGGTAAGGTGGGCCTTACTCGGTCAGCAGCTATAGTGATAGATGACAGATGTCGGATAGGTTTTGGGTGGTGTAAGATCCTTTCTCTTTCACAACTATCATTTGGAAGATCCTCCCCAGCCTCACCCACCTTGATCCTGGGATTCCTGGGCTGTGAGGCGATGGTGTATTCCGATGTGACGTAATTATGCCATAGCCTTTCATGCTGTGTAATTACGATTTATTGTACCTAATGTTAATGGTCTAGATTGATCACTATAGATCAAGCTGTCACAGTGGACTCTGCCCTGTCCAGCACTGATGTAGTAAGCCATAAAAACAAAAGGATCGCTCTAGTAGAAAAACCGATAATATGGAAAGAGAAAGCAAACAGGTTTTTTTTTCTGTTTCAGACGTCAGCTCGGTGATGTAGGCCTTGTGTCTACAGGAAGTGACAGTCCTATTACAGAGAGAATTAGATTGTGTCTATAAATACACAGCAGTGTTGGAGGATTTCTTTTTTTACGTTGTTGGTTTGGTGAAGATCGAGGTAGACTGTTTGCTGTTGCTAATGATTGTATCCTCCGTGGGCTGTGAATGAATCCATAGCCAGCCTTCCGTTGAGCGGCGAGTCATGTGTGTGTCACATGGCTCTTGCAAAACACATACCGTATTACTGCAGCTTTCGCAATCTGCTGCCAGAAGCTGCCGTTAGCACTTCCTTTTTAAAGTCTGGGGATATTTAGACACTGGACTTTTCCATAGATTCGTTATTTTCATTTATTCATTGAAATCATCTGTTTAAGCTTACATTCCTGTGAAGTGAACCTTTTCTTCAGGTTCCAGTATTCAGCAGTTCTAGTGACTATAGAGCAAGGGTTAGTTTAGTTCACCATTCCGCTTCAACTCGTTTTTCCTGACTGGCAGAAGAACACGATTTTCCATCCACAATTTAGCCCACCAGATAAATTAGGGTTATTTTTTTTTTCAGGTTTGTTTTGGACTGACACATAAACATAAAGAGCTGATTACTGTTCCATTATATTAAGTAGTAAAATAATGTCAAAGAAGCTTCAAGCGCAAACTGTTAGCGCTATATAAATCCTGTATAATAATAATTAGTGAATTTGAACTTTGTCGGTGCTGATGGTTAATGTCTGTCTGTTTTATGCTTTGTTCAGGTAATGGGAGTTCTAGTTCTATATGAGCTCTAGATCTCTAAGTCATTTCAGGTGTTAAAAAAAACCCACTTTTGGGGCGATATGTTAATGGGAACAAATATGGGCCTGCTGTCTGTTGCAGAGCACATAGTTGCCACTTTTTACTATTTGAAAACAAATCAAATAATCTCATTGCTTTGGCCAACAGCCCCCTCCTTTTCTTTGGCTGGCATTTTTTTAAAATCCAACTCTTGATTTGTTTTCTTCAGTGGCTTTAAAGGGTTATTAAACCCTCAGCATTTTTTGCATGTGTCTACTGCTAGCAAGCAGTAGATTTATGCAAAAACATGAAAACATTTTTTCAAACAGGTTAAAACTTACCTGTGCCTTCGCTGCGCGCTCCCGTCCGAACATCTGAAGAGTCTTGGGGCGGGCGCATGCACAGTTCAGATCTTCGGGCGGGAGACGAGGAGAGACGCAAGGTAAGTCTATGGAGCAGCGTGCACCCGCACAGACTCCATGGGACAGGAAATGAAGAGGAGGACAGAAGAGTCGGTGCTGGATCGGAGACCGGCACCAGTCCTGGAGGGACAGCTGAAAAGGACAGTAAAGAAGATGATCAGATTAAAAGGCATCATTTAGCCCTCATTCACAGTAGAAACGGCCAGCACGTACAGCTCTGTGCTGCGTGCACGGCCGTATCGGGCAGCACCCGGGAAGGACAGGTGCTGCGTGTGATTAGCACGCAGCCCCCGTCCTTCTCTATGGGACTACGTGGCCATAC